ATATTATTGTAAACAGCTTCAAGGACATCCACCCACCCAGTTATTGTGCTGTCGGAGGCACCTGAAATAGCAACAAAAAATTAGCAAGACCAAAACAAAATATAATGCAGAAACGGAAAACAAGAAGCAAAAAGCAACCTTCACCACCATCCAAGCCAGGACCAGATGGGCAAGCAGAGGCCTCAGAGGTGCTCCCAAGCCATTCAGTGCAAGGTCCACACCCAAAGGATCATTAGGGTTCTCATCGGTTTTCCCAAGGGCCTCCGTCATACCCCCTGGAAAAATAAAAATAAGTCCCGATAAAATAGGAAAATACAAATAGCAAAGGAAAACAAAGCTAAGAGGCAACTTACCTAGATGCAATGGACTCAGGGCAATGTTTGAGCCACCAGCATCCTCGGCGTGATGACCGGTGGCTTCAAACATCACGTTTTGAAACAGAGCAACTGGAGAGCTAGCTTCCGCCTCGTCCTTGGACACCTCTATGAGACCGGCCGTAGGACAGCGAAGGCTAGTACTAGCAGCCTCCCCTTCTCTCGGCAAAGAAGCATCACCACGACTAGCACCTTCGCCCTCGGAGCTAGAAGACTCATCACCCAAAATGCCGGGCATAGGCGCCACGACGGAGGGTTCAGCAGTAAGGCCACCGCCCATTCCTTGGAGGGCGGTGTCCACAAAGTCATCGCCACCAAGATCCAAAGAGGCAGTAGAGTGCTCGCCCCCTATTCTAGTAGCAACGAAGCCAGAGGCTCCGCCAACACTTTCAGCAACCTCCTCCTCATCATTGGCAGAGGCGGCAGAAGCAGCCACAGTCTTCCGCCTTTTGGTGATGACCTTGGGCGAAAGTAACCCTTTTCTTTCTTCGCCTCCACATGAGTAGTCACATTCATGGCGGTGGCCTTCGTAGCCTTGTCCTCTATGGACTTGTGCTCCTTCGCAGGAACGTCATGTTCCTCGTGGTGGATGCTGAACTCCTTAAAAACTCTATTGAGCCACGACATAGTACTGGTGATGGCTTGGCATGCCAGATACTCCCTGTTAGACATTTTGCAGAGTATCTCACGCGCCGTTGCCTCGGTGGACTTCACCAATTTCTCAGCAGCCCGACCCTCCTCAAAACCAAAACGGGGAAACGGAACCCCAACACCTTCACCAAAAATAGGTAGATTGACCATCTCAATGGTCATGGCAAGCCTGTACCTACCTAGTGGCCAGCAGTTGGCCGCCACCATCTCCTCAACCGAATCACAGCCCCCGGGAGTACCAGCAGGCCAGAGCAAAAGCCTTGTCGCAGGCTATAGGACCCTCATCAGCCCCCGGACCCAGGATCCATTGAGTCAAAGGCCTCATTGGAGTCATCACTAAAGCCAATGGATAGCGGGTATTCTTCTTCCCGTCTGAGCCGGTAGATGTCACGCCACCGGTCCTCACGTAGAACCAGTATTGCATCCAATCCTTCGACCACTTGTTCTTCTGAGTGAAGGAGATCTCCATCTTCTTGCCCATTTGGTTCCTCTGTAGCATAAAAGTGCAGCTTCCGTACTGCACCACCAACTGGCCTTCGCCAACTCGTTTAGGCTGGCGCTAGAGCTCATAGTACTCGTAGAAAGTACCAATGTTTGGCTCCACGCCATAAGACAAGCAGGCCCAGTAGAACTTACTCAGGGTAACAATACCATTGGGGGTAAGATGGTGAAGTTGTACCTCGAACGCTTCCAAGACTTGGCGAAGGAAGCACGCTGCCGGGAACCAAAGGCCGCAAAGGAAGAAATGCCTAAAAACCACGGCATCTACGGCCTTCGGCTTAGGAATTGTCTCCGCCTCCGGAAGCTTCACCTTAGCATCACCAAAGCAGCCCAACTGCCGCAACTCCTCGATCATGTCCTTCGTCATAAGCGAAGGTCCAAAATCCCACGTCCTGGATGAGCCAGCCATGTATCCTGCCTCTTCAGCGGTTATCAAATCTGCGTTGGAGGCCTCAACTCCAGAAAGATCCTCCTCAAGCCCTAACGTCTGTGCACTGACAATCATACACACCTCGAACCACGTAGACCACCCACTAGACCTAACACCGAGATGGCAACGGTACAGCCCAAAGAAGGAAGCTCAGCGTGGAGGAGGACTGACAGGCGTGGCCACTTCTAAGACTCAGTGACAGCCCAAAAAGGAGTGAAGGCAAACACCAACTAAGCGAAAACTAGGCGCAAAAGGACAATGTACACAACAGCAGCAGCGAAAGCTATGGCTCAGATAGAGACGGGGGAGCGTTCACCTACCGACCCTTATATAGCCCCTGCCACGTCGCTTCAACTTTCGAGGCCAACGGTCACGTCCGTTCCAAAACACGTCGGTTCCGCAGCCACCGTAGCGAATCAAATAATGACACGTCACCAATGTAGCGGTCTGATCTAGGCGTCCCAGCGGGGAAAGGGGCCAAAGCCTCCATATGTGCAAAGAGCCTCTGCGTCTCAGAACTTGAAGGCTAGGTTTCAAGGGCAAGGCCCGCCGGGGGGAAGCCTCCGCGCCTCAGAACCTGAGGACTATGTTTTGAGGGCAAGGCCCGCCACCATCAGACCAAGCCCTCAAGGGGGGAACTGTTGGGACACAGTTCTGAGACGCGGAGGACAAAGTTTGCAAAAGCTATAAGAACTAACAGGTAACTAGTTTTATGAACAGTGTGCAGGGAAAGGAGGCCTAGGCCTTCGCTCAGGAGATCACGTGAGGCGAAGGCTGGGGAGCTACGGCGAAGGCGCCAGGAAGCGGTCAGGGGTGGAGGCTCTCGCGGCACGAGCGAAGGCTATGGCTCGGACGCCAGAAGCAAAGGTTAGGAAGCTCTGGCGAAGGCTTCCCTCGCAGAGGCCCCGGAACTAGGGAAAGCCCCCGCTCGGCGACATTACTGGGCTGTGGGCCGATGACGATTTGTCGACGGTGGCCCAACAGGCAAAGGTGGTAAAGGAAAGAGGATACCCAAACTGCCCCAAGGGGCTTGCATTTGCATAGGAATATTTTAGGAATGTACTGTAACCGACAAGGGTTAGAAAATATAAAGAGTAGCTCTAGCAAACAGTGCCCTATAAAAGGGGGGACTCAAACTCTGTACAGAAAGAGGGAGAGACATTAATGCAACCCTAGTCAAGTTCGGACCCACCTCTTCATTACTCTCCCCTTCGCCCAGGGCTCCAGACCGGGCGAAGGCTATCGTACGTTGTCTTTCTTTGTCTCGACTGCTAGAAACCAAGCTTTCCAACATGCGGTTAATCTTTGGTGTGGCGGATGCAAAGCTGTTTTATAGGGTGTCTCTCTTCTTCCTCAGCCTTCTCTCCTTTTTCTCTTCCCATCTGTCCCTCCTTTGGCTTCCAACAGAGAGATATTGGATTTAAACCGTGGCTAAGACACTACTAAACCGTTAGTGATATTGTCAAGATCCGGCATTGGTATATCACTGTGACTCGTGACTCAACCTGAGAGTGAGAGGGGTTTCACTGCCGGGGCTCAATAAGATCCCAATATATTGTCGGATTGATCCTATGATTAGGACCCGGTAGTGAAGATGGCGCTACAGCACGTTTGGGAGTGGATGGGCTGAAAAGATGGTTTGTTCTGTAGTAATAATGATATGAAGTCCTGATATTCATGTGTGTACGAGTGATCATAAAATAAAAAGTATAGGTCTAAAAACGGTTGACTGCAGACTCGCATGTCTGTTGACTATTCCATGCATCGACCAAGTTAGGTCCGCCCACCACGTATTTCTACATGACCATTTATTTCTCGCCAAAATTTTGAACCCTGCATAAGTATTCATGTGTAAATAGAATGATGAGATATGAGGCTGATTCTTAGTACTATATATGTATGTAATAATAATAAATCAAGTAACTAGGAACTCTTGTCCATTTATTTGAACAAGCACACAGCTGCATTATATTAATGTGTTGTCTCAGTACGTCCTGGTCGAGTAGGGTTAGAATTTCCAGGCCGGTCATCTAGATCTAGTTACATACCGACAAAGTCTAACCAATGTTACACGGCAGCGCAATGCATGCCACAAACTTCTAAGAAGCAACGGTGGATACGCTCCTGCAGTCAAATATCCCGCCTACTTTTGCCTAACTTATTTTGGGGGAGCTGGTTTGTGGTGCACGAAGGTTCATATATAAATCATATTTAAGCAAAGGATTTTCTCCCCCTAAATCATGTATTTTTCATATATATGAAATTGAACTCTTTTTCGCCAAAGAAAGCATATGTCTAAAGTCCAGTCCAGTATCATGTGGGTTGCGGTGCCATTTTGTATGGGTGGAATAGAGATTCGAGGGTTTTCTCCATATATGATTCCTTGCTTTCAAGGATGGCCTTTAGGTAATAAAGTAGAGTTTTAAAAATTGGAGTACTATAATAATACTATCAGTTCAAAAACAAAAAAAACTGCAGTTGCTATACTCTGGAATATACTCCAATATGCTGTTTCGAGATCTCAATATCCACCGTCCATACACAGGAAATTACCTAAAAAATTGGCGATATCTGAATCTCATTCACTAGCTGAAGTGTTGAAACAATGGAACAGCTGAACCGTCTCGCTGTCACCCAAAATTGGCGATAGATATAATTCATCAAGGGTAAGTTTGTCATTCCGTCAGCCCTGACTTTTCCAAACCCCGTTCTTCCCCTGCCACGAGGCTATAAATACGCTTGCATCCTTCCCTAACTCCTCCACACTACAAAGCTCTAGCTAGCTCACCACACGTCGTAGACAACTAGCGGATAGCATTCATGGCGTCCGGAGCTACTTCTTCCTCAGTCCTCAGCCTGCTCCTGCTCGCTGCCTTTGCGGCCAGCGCAAGAGCGGCCACATTCACGATCACCAACAACTGCGGCTCGACGGTGTGGCCGGCGGCCACGCCCGTGGGCGGCGGCACGCAGCTGGACCCTGGGCAGTCGTGGACCGTGAACGTGCCGGCGGGGACCCAGTCCGGCAGGGTGTGGGGCCGCACGGGATGCTCCTTCAACGGCGGCAGCGGAGCTGCCAGACAGGCGACTGCGGCGGCGCGCTCTCCTGCACGCTGTCCGGGCAGCCTCCCATGACGCTGGCCGAGTTCACCATCATCGGCGGCAGCCAGGACTTCTACGACATCTCGGTTATCGACGGCTACAACCTCGCCATGCGATTCTCCTGCAGCACCGGCGTGACCCTCAACTGTGGCAGCTCCAGCTGCCCTGACGCCTACCTCTTTCCCAACGACAACACCAAGACCCATGCCTGCAACGGCAACAGCAACTACCAGGTGACCTTCTGCCCATGATCACCGACCGATCATGAGGCCGCCGGCCGGTGCTCCAACCATGCGTAGTGCTCCATGCACTGTATTGCGTATACGTATGTCTGTCCGATCCTACCTAGTGGAGAATTATAACGAATAAAAGTAGTTGAATAAGACTTTATCGAGAAAAGTCGTCCACACGTGCATTGATGTTCACGCATATGCATCTTTGATTTGTACTCTCAAAACATGGATGATGTATGTGTCTCATCAGTTATCAAGTAGCTAGGACTATGTATTTGTTAATCGATATGAGAGTGACATTTATGTATTGCGGTCATGTTTGTTTTAGCCTTTATTTTGTCACATCTCTCTTACACTACACACGCCTGAAATCGATCGAACGCTCTCCTCGTATGCCCTGTTTGTTTATAAAGGGGCATGGAGGAAGTAGGCTGGCTAGGTACAGGAGGTGGGAGCGACGCGGAGAGGCGAGGAGGTGGGGCCACCACTAGCCATGGGTGAAGGAGGATGGTGGTTGGACCAGGAAGAAGAAGGGGGGGGGTGGGCACATGTGAACTGTGCGAGACAGATATTGAGCAACAACGGTACAAGATGAACACAAAGCATCCTTTCCAAATCTAATGGTACTAATGTGTTACCTGAAAAAAAAATCAGAATTGTTAATGCTCAACCGGTTGTTTTGGAGCTTCAAAACAACTGGATTTGAGACCGTGGGATCTGACCTCGTTCACCTCCGAGCTGTCCGATCTCAGCGACACGGGCCAGTGGGGCACCGCGATGGCTGCTCGTGTGAAGGGCCCGCCGCCGCTGCCCCAGCCCCTCCTGCGTGCATCGGTAGCGCCCACAACGTGGGCGCGAGGGTCACCCTTGGCCGGCCTCTGCCGTCGCTCCCTCCAGCGCCATGCCCTCGCGGGCGTCCCCAGTGCGTGGGCACGGGCGCCTCCTCCTTCTGGGCAATTTTGGGTGGATTTTGTCTTTTTTTGTTTGAAATTTCTGGAGAATTTGTGAATAATTTGACATATGTTTCTCTGATGTCTAGAATCCATATTAATAATTTGTAATTATTTAAAAAAAATTGGCATATATTTGTGTTATTTTCAAATTACATCACTCTATCCAGTAAACTACACTAAAGAAATCATTGTAAATATAGTAATAAGACGGTGTAAATTTAGCTATAAGACAGTGTAAGTGCGTGTGAAAATTCTGGTTGTTGAGAAGGGCTAAAACAACCGGTCGTTGGCTAGACAGATTAAAAAAAATAGGCACCTGACTACAGCAATTCTCTTGTTTTTATTAACGAGACTAACTAAACCCATCCCAGGAAGTGCTTGTCCGGATTCTGTCAATGCATATCTAAGAAAAAGGAAACTTCATGTCAAGGAAGTTAGGCTTGATATAGAGTATATTACTACAATGCTATCTACACGGGTACTGTCTCAAAACAGACCAGGACCAGCTCATTCATGCTGCAGGAGCTCGGGCTCCGTCCGCGCGCTGCCGCCAGCTCCGTCCACATGGCACCACCATCTGCGTCCGCGCACCCCCGCGTTCCTCTCCATCTCCGTGCCTTAGCCTAGCTATTTTCTTTGACTTGATAAGGAGCTAATAGTAGTACTTGGTAGAGAAATCTTTTGCATCTATTGCCGTGTTACGTCTGTTAGAAGTTGTGTCAGATATATATTTCGTGCATCTACAGCTGGATAGACTGAGATGCTGCCAAATTGCCAATTGGAAAGTGTCATGGATGCATGCATGATGTGGATTTTGGTGGGCTAACTCTGTCGATGAGCCACTTCATAACTTGTACGGGTATGAACGTGCACGCAACCGAAAATCCAGCTACAGTGACAAGGGCACTGAAAATCATGTATATATACGTTACATGCAGGGATATAGAGTAATAATTTAATTAAAATATCTTGGCAAGATTAGCCAAGATTATTATAGTTAGAAAAGTCAGAACACAATCTTCCTAGCTAGGAATTAGCGTTAATTAGGATAAAGTTTAGAGGTTGCCATCAATTGTGGTATCTATGCCTATATTTTGTTTGACCTGCTAAGGAGCTAATAGTACTAGGAGCGTGTTTAGTTCCAGGAAGTTGGAATTTAGGGCTACTGTAGCACTTTTCATTTTTATTTGGCAATTAGTGTTCAATCATGGACTAATTAGGCTCAAAACGTTCGTCTCGTAATTTCCCACCAAACTGTGCAATTAGTTTTTTTTCGTCTACATTTAATGCTCCATGTACGGGCCGCAAACATTCGATGTGATAGGTACTGTAGCACTTTTTGGGAATTTGGGGTGGAACTGAACACGCGCTAGAGCTATATTTTGTTAGAAGTGAGCTATATTTTGTTAGAAGTTTTGTGTCAGATAGTTCATGCATGTAGATGTGCTGAAAATTAATCCAAGTTGACAAGGGCAACACACTAGTAATACAAGATACTGCTTGTTCAATGGATGAATCCGTCTTCAAGGCCGCCTGGCTTCAAAACATGCGTAGTCCCAGTACCATAGGCACAATCATGCGCATACGCCATTACCGCACGTAAGAAATATTTTATTTTTTTCTCTGAGCTAGAATTTGTCAAGGTTATCGCAAATATACATACGTACATACAGGATGCATGTTGAGATGATATTGTGCTATGTTTGTCTACATATACATACATCCAAAGTAGACTTCAATTTCCCCACAACTCTGTAAAATTATGTCCTTGTGGTAGTGACTGCCGCCAATTGTGTCCTTGTGCATCCTGAATTATTCCAGATCATGACGAAATCTTTGGCTCGCGTACAAGTCAGTCCACGAGTCAGCAGTCCACCCTATGCAGACCTAATCATGGTGCTGGACTGCTGGTCACCTCACATGTATGCATCAAAAAACCCTCTCTTTTTCCACGTACGCACATATCTGTAAACATTAATTTTCCATAGGATATATAGGAGAGCATGTACATACACATATATTCGTCAGTCCAGCTCAAACAAAAAATTTGGCCGTAACAAAAAAACTTGACCGTACCATAGAGGAATCTTAGATATTTTATATGACTCAAATGTTGTTGTATAAAAATTGGTATTTTAGCTCTTGAAAGCTAGGTTGGTCCTATATGAGGTTGCAGATGATGATGCATGCCGCATGCATGACTTCATGTATCTCTTTTAATTAGCGGGTTATTTCTTAATTGTATATCGTAGGTTATTGTCGGGGACCTAATACCGGGGTACCCAATGAGGTGGAGCTAATAACCATCGAATGCTGACGTTTCCGGTCAGACAAGAACGCTACTACACTTCTTGCCCGAACGGCGGAAGATTGGTTCCGCCTCGCCCGACCCCCAAGGGCTAGACTCCGCCTCGCCCGATGGCTGAGGGCCGGTTCCGCCCCGCCCGACGTCCAAGGGCAGGCTCCGCCTCGCCCGACGGCTGAGGGCAGGCTCCGCCTCGCCCGACGGCTGAGGGCAGGCTTCGCCTCGCCCGATGGCTAAGGGCTGGCTCCGCCTTGCCTGACGACTTCACCCTGCTCCGTCATAATGACGAGCACAGGATACGACAGGACATTCGAGTCAACCGCAGTACCGAGGACCATGCCCTGCACGCTTGTAGGAAAGTACCGTCAGGATACAACGGGACGGGTGCTTTAGGCCCTTCCAGGCATGACAGAGCCCGAACAGTGTTGTAGGCGCCGACTTTTGTCTTACAGTGTTGCGGGCGCCGTCATCGGCCCTCGGACGCAGATCCTGACATGAGCATATGACAACCACTACAATCCAAGAGGGAACTCACATCATCAACAGTAATGGACGAATAGTCACTTCCCCGTCTACTCCCCGCAGAGTCATGGCTCGGCGCCCTGACACCCCACACCGTCCGTTGGGGGAGGAGGGGACATGACCACTCGCTGAAACGAGGCCAGAGCCTGGCCTTATGAGGATCAGCGAACATGCCATCCCTGGCATGGTCTGCCATGTCAGTAGGGCAGGCTCAAGGGAAAAGGAAGACCCGGCTCCTTCGAAGGACCATATCAACCTCTGGTTTTTTCCTCTTTCTCCCATCTGTAATCCCTGGTCCCCCTTGGTCTATAAAAGGGAGGGCAGGGCACCCCACTAGGGGACGGATCGATTCCACACACAGCACACAGCCAAGCGGCAACCGAGCTCTTCGCATCCTTTTGACCTTTCCATTAGAAACTTGGGACCTGTCCCTCTCTCAACTGTTTGTACCCCCTACTATGAACCTTTTTCGGTACTAATAACACTAGCAGCAGCAAACTGGACGTAGGGACATTCTGCCCGAACCAGATAAACCTTGTGTCCTTTAGTACACAATCTGAGCCTAACGCGAAACAAATATAAATTTACTAGTTGGTGTTTGTTCGAAACACCGACAGTTGACGCACCAGGCAGGGGCCTTTGCGCGTTCCAAATCAGGCCTCGGATGGCTAGCCACATGATCAGCTGGGTCCTGGGCGCACACGTGCATTTTGGTGACCTAGACTTCAACGTTACGGTGGGAGGAGAGTTGGCATTGTCCCACGCCACCATCCAATCTCTCCCCTCCATCGGCTTCAACTACGGGAGGCTTGAGCGCCAACCCGGCGTCTCCCTTGGACCCCAGCCATCCAGGGAGGACCCGCGCCGCCTTACCCTCTCTCTAGAACACTCCGCACGGAGCGCCCTGATGGCGCTTCCATTCGGTCTCCGCAACGCCGCGGCGACCGTTAGCCACCTTGTGGCACAGCGCACAATCCCGTCCCCCGCGAACAATGAGTTCGTGGGGATGATCGAAAGCAATATGGAATCCCTCCACGGCCTCCTCGCAGAGGGGCCAGGGTCAGACTCTGGCTCTGACTCCAGCAGGGGGAGCCATCATCCCTCCTGGGATTGTTTCATGGCGGGTACCCCCGAGGGACACATCGAAAGCGTCTCCGCGGAGGAGGCTACCCGGCAGGCAACCTCGGCGGCGAAACCAAAGGGGAGACAGCGGCCCGACCTCGCGTAGGGGTGGAGCA